TTTCTGTACACAGATTCATTCCTCTTTGTTACTGTCGAAATAAAGAAGACAAAATCGTGGAAGTAGAAAACGGATGGCAAAAAAGTATGAAGTTAACGTCACTTCTATACATCTTTTTTGGAGATAAATAGGAATTAAAGGACAGTACGAGTAATTATCTTATCAAACAACCTAACAATCTTTTTTTATTGAATAACTAATTTTTCAACAATTTCAATAATTTTTTGATCAATTATTTGCTATATAAAAATATGCCAGATTTTGTTTCTGCTAAGAAAATGAATTAATCTATTAGCTTTGCTTTTTTTGTAATTAATTAAGCTATAATATTACTTACTTGACAATTTATGCAATCACCTGTGAATGGATCACATTCAAATGAATGTCCTTCACAGTTACATTTCTCGCATTGACCATCAAATAGTTGATTGTTTACTCTGCGATATCCCGAGATACAACGCTGAAAAAAAAAACCAATATTTCTTCGAGAGAAATGTTTAATGCGTAAAAATATATGAAATTAATTTTATAAATTTACTTACTTCGCAACTATTGCCAGCATAATATTCAGGACACTGACATACTTCAACGCCACGCATCAATGTATTCAACATTTGAGATGATTTCAACATTTTCTCCATGTTTTCGTTTGTATTTTTTGGTTCAATTGCAGTATCCAATGTTAATCCATAGATACTATAAAATAGATTAGTGAAGAATGGGAATGGAATAGCTATAAAGTTAAGAATAAAAATAACTAGAAAATTTGTAATTCACGATAAATATCACTTATGTATTTTACCGAATACCAACAAATTATTCGATGAAATTAAAAATGATTGATATGGAAGAAGTTACCTTGATTGTATTTGTTCCCTATTATACACTGCTTTTATCATCATCGTGTTAACATCAGCTAGAACACGCATCATTTCATGCTTATCAATAAGTGTACGCATATTTGAATTATACCATCCGCTACCTTCTTTCATTGGTATCTGAATGCTAATATTTTCTCTCGGGAAAAATTTCTGTCGACTGTTATATTCCATTTTAATACCGTTACCCTGAAAGTAAAATTTGTTGGAAGAGTTTTTAGATGGAAATAAGAATGAATCAAATGAATAAATAAACGCATCACATTATTATATGACAATTATGACGATTATATGATGTAACTGTATGATAATGTACAATGATACTTACGTATTACATCTTAAATTTGATTACGTATAATATCGTAAATTTGATTCTGTATAATATCGTAAATTTGATTACATATAATATTTTAAATTCGATTACGCATAACATCTTAAATTTTACATTTCTCATTGTTATTCTTTTATCATCCGGAACAATTCCGAGAAAACTTATGTGAACATCAGGAAATAATAATCCAATAATGCAATCATAAAAAAGTAATTATTTTATCTAACCAACTTCTATGATAACATCAGGAATGGATATTTCTTGTCCGTCACCCATCGGTACGAAGTATACATAATATTGCAAATTTCCACCATAACTATTTAACTGAAATTATAAGGTAAATTTTATTTGTTAATAATTATAAATTCCTTCCTATGGTACCGCTTCGCATTACAAATTAATTTACTATATATGTATAGTTCGTTTTACAAGTAATTTAAAACGGAAATGGTTTTGACCTGATAATTAATTGCCATGGAGTAAATTTTTGAATTCTACCTACCATCTACGACAGCACCGCCTCAATAAATTTTAAGATGAATTTAAAAGGATTCATTAACAAACCAAATTCCCATTAAATTCCTTTGGCGCCTTCCAATAGTACAAATCATTATTTCGATACTCATTATTACTATACATCAATATTTCATTCTCAGATTTCAGCGCAACCATTTTTTCACCCGATATATCAGTTAACATCCAACCTTTAGTGCTTCGTATCTATAAAAATCACAAAACCTCATTTTGTTTAATGTGATCAACTCTTCAAATTTTTTTTACTATCCTGAATCAAATAATTAAATAAACGGAAATGAATTTACGAGTTCCATGAAATGTGATTTTGGAAGTAACTGATAAATGATATCGAAATATTGCTAAGTGAAGTTTTAATTTTGAACGGCAATTAATATATTAATACAATGTGATCTTTGTTCCATTATTATTTTTACACAAAATGCTCACCTTTCAATTTTCTAAAACAAAATCATAAAAAAATCAGAAAGAGAAACAAAAATAAGATTAGCATATTGAGACATTCTTGTCTTAATTTCATTCTTGAGAAACTCTCGAAATATTGAAATATTGAATGTTCAACGTACCGCTCCCCGATTCCATTGCATTTCATGGCATTCTTTGCTAAGACCAAAACAGAAGCAAGGTTGACAACCTTCTGGATTTTTCATATCCAGATTAATTGTACCTTTCTGTAAGAATTTAAAGCAAATGAGCTACAAACTATCATTTTGAGAAGAAAATTTATTGAAAAAAAAAAAACAGAAATTATTTTTGAGTATTTGATTGTTTGATTTTCACTTTCAATTTTCTTTGCTACATTTCAACTTCTAACAATTTCCCAATGAATCATATTATTTATTACATTTAAGAATAATATTGCAAATGAACAAATTATCACTTTTTAAAATGAATATTGCGTAAACTATCTAAGCTTTTTGAACCAATTTACAATTGGTAAGTGGTTGAATGGAAATGTGATCAAAAAGCCTTATTTTCTATTTTTGAGTTAGCCTAATAGAGTAATTGGACTGCGATCGTGATCGATATGAATTAATTTTGAGGGTTAAAATATTACAAAATATGAAAGAAATTAAAAAATTGAAACTGACCTTACATCGATCACAATAAGGGCCTTCTACATTTGCCTTACAAATACAATGTTCCTCCTCACAGGTGTTAAAATTCAGAGAACCAGCTCGATTACATGGACATGGCTCACATTTCGGATGATTCCGATATCCCGCTGCGCAAATATCGCATCGACGCCCACCAAATCCAGATTTGCAAATACAATCACCTGGTTTCTGCATGTAAATTTCTAACAATTTCATTTTAAACTCAAAATATATTATTAGCTTAAATTCAAAACTTACTGTTATCAATTGTTCAATATAATTGAACAGCTGTTGTTCATTTCCTGTGTTAACTTCATTCCTATTCAATAATTTAACATTATTAACTTACTTGATTACCAATTGCACTAGTCTCATCCCGAACACAATTATTATTCTCGGAACCGATTGGATCACAATCGCAAGGTTGACATGCATCTTCTCGATAATGAGTAACACCTGATGGTCGAAAGTATGTCCACATGCAACGTTCACAATTTATTCCATCTGTGTTATGCTGAAATTACAGCACAAATATTCAAAGTGAAATATTTACATATATTAGTTTGAAAATTTTTAAAATAAGTTGGTGAAAAAAATACTTTAAAAAAAAGGATGAATAACTTACTTTACAAGCGATACATTTACCGCCACCTTCAAAGATACCTTCTGGTGTAACACTTAGACCCAATCGTTCCACTTCTTCATCGTATTCGCAACGTGTAGCATGATTAAAGCATTGACAAGCTAAATTAAATGAAAAATTAAAAACTTCATTAAATTAAATTTTTGAATATAGGATATAATAATAAATTGGACACTTACGCTGACAAACATTAGGTCGTGATTGTGTTCCCTGACGCCACGGAAGTTGATTGAATAGTGGACAACATTCGCTGCACGATTCACCGCACGTGTTATGACGACATTCACAACGTGATTGCTAAAAGTTAAAGGTTAACTAAGTGAAATTTAATTAATAGCTAAAGAAAATTTGGCAAAAATTGAATATACAGACATTTAACAATTAGCCTATACTGACCAAAAAAAAAACTGGAAAAAAATCCACCCATTTTTCACTTTTTTTCTTTTTTTTTTTGAAATTAAACAGTCAACAGTTTCAATTAATTTTATTGATCAATGATTATGCATGAAATCATATTTAGCAGGTAATGAATTATCATTGTTTAGAAATGCTTACCCCGGTGACTGGATCAGGTGGACAACTTTCTGCATGTCCATAGCAAATGCACTGACCACCAATGCTAATATCCTTGATGGCATAGAAGTAACGTCTTGTAACCGATAGATCCAATCTGTTACTTTTATCACGCCGATTAATTATCATTAAATCAGCATTCAATGTTCGTACATTCATCAAACGAAGTCGTACATAACGAGCTCGAGTAAACTCCTAAGAAAGAATGTATTTTTTTTTTTAAAAAAAAATATTTAAATTGATTTCATTTTAAAAAACTATTAAAAGATCATACGAATGCCTTTTTTTCTTTCAAAAAGACTAAAATTTTTAAAATGGATTACACAACCTGTAACGTTTCAGAAGCAGCTTCAGCAGATGGTCGTCCATTTACGAGTGACGTATAAATCTCACCATTTTCTAGCGGATCAAGTTTTGAATAGTATGATGTACATATTACCTATAATTTTACATTAAGTTATACTTTAAAATTTACCCAAAAATAAATCATTTCTTCAAATTATACTTCAAAATTTGGTCAAAATAGATCATTTCTCTAAACAATGGTTTAATTCTTTAACGAATTAAAATTTAAACTTAGAAACTAATAATAAAGTCTAGTTTATAAAAAAAAAAAAAAAATTACACTCAAGGACTAAATAAAATTTCATTCTCTATTTATTTTCAACAATAATTAAACCTCATCATCTCGTGTAAATCGTGGTACACCAATGGTTGCTGGTACACCAAACTGTCGTAAACATTCCGCATCACTAACTGCGTAATATTGCCACGGTTGATAGTTAACACCATCAAGTGATTTCTCTAATATCCAAGTTCCAGGTCGAGGTGCAATTGCGCTTTTTACAATTACATATGCCACTTGATATTCCTTTAAATTTACTCCTTTTTTTTCATCTTTTTAGTTAAAATTTTATTTTTTAGTTTGATCAAATTGATTATCATAATGATTTTCCTCAAATATCTATTTGTATCACATAGAAAGTATTCACTATTTTTTTTTTTTGTATTACATTTTTTTAGATTTTTGTAGCACATATTTGCATTGTGTTTTTTAAATTTTTATCGTTTTGAAGAAATCAATTATTCCACCTAAGTAAATCAACTATTCCATCTTTTTTTTAAATTTCAAAGAAAAAAAATGAAAAATTTTTAATAATAAGATTACATTTTAAGTTTAAATTCTGTCTTCAGTTTTGTGTATTTAGAAGCTATTCATAAGGAATCGTCAAAAGTAGACGATAGTTAATAAATCATACTTGTCGGAGGTCAATGGTGATATTGACCCGCTCGTAATCAAGCCCATTAGCTAACGATGGACTTTGCCACCATCGTCGAGTACCATCAATTGCAAATTCAATTGGATGGCGCTTTCTGACATCGTTTGCATCACAAACGTCACATTGCGGTTGCCTAAAGATAATTTCGAATAAATTTACTTAAATAAAACATCAAAAAATTTAACATTAAAAGTTAGAACAGGTAAGAAAACGACAGATAAAAATGATAAGGAGGCAATGTGAAAAGTTTTTGCGAAATAGCTCTTGTTGATGAGTAATCAGTAGAGATAAATGATACCCGGGAATTACTGCAAAATCGAATTTAGTGAACATCGAAAGACAGACAACCTTTCTTTTTTAATGAGTTAGTTTTTTTTTTTTAAAGTTTTAAAGAGTTAAATTTTTAATGAGTTACATGAGTTAGTTAATTTCTGATGCAATTAAGTATATTTGGTATATGTAAAAAAGAATGGAATAGAACCTATTAAAAACATGCTCCACTAATTTGCAGTAAATTTCACGATAATGTTGGCCACAGGTAGCATCCGCATAAATTAGTGCATTTGTTGCCAAATTGAAAATTGTCGGAAAGAGACCATGCTCTGGACAATTTTTACAATTAAAATACAGTGAAAAAGAAAATTAACCAAATTTATATATATCCAAATGTAAAATGTAATTTTAAATTTTAGACAAATGCAACAAAAATAAACAATGCTATAAGCTTACGTCCTTCAACAACGACAAATTCTTGATAATTATCGTATTCCTGCTCGATTCTTTCGGTACCACCAAAATAGGCTGTCAGAATGACGATAGCAAACACAAAAAAATATGGCTGAAAGGCTAAAAAGCCCATTGTCCTAATGTTGTCCTAAGCCTTGTGTCCTAATCTTATGTGGACTTTCCAAAGGCAATCTATTATACTGAATACCTGTAATAAATAAATTTCATTTATAACTAAATTTTCTTCTTTATTGAAATTAATCATGACATTCTTAATGTAATTTAAATTGATGAGAAAATGAAATAAGATAGTTTTCTTTTTTTTTTTTAGTGGAAAAAGGATTAGAAAAGAATTAGTGATTAAATTGAAGTGCATTTTTGATCTCCATTTTTTTTTTCGATTAGTAAATAATAGCTTAAAATTGTTGAACTTCAAATTTTTCATTTAACAAATAAAAAATTTCAATGAATAAATATGATGAAATATAAAAATAAGAAAAGAACAGCGAGCTGTTATGTGTGCAACAAAACATTTAAGACATTATTCATCTCAGATATTTTGTGTGCAGCGTTGTTGTTGTATTTGCAAGAAAGGAATGCATCAGTGGAATCGTACAATGTGGTGATACCAAACATACACACACACACACACACACACACACACACA